CCGTGGAGCCTAGCAACCTCCACGAGACCGTCTGTGTTGTCTGTCCGTAACTGCAACTCAAGCAAGTTTTCCAGCCTGCACCACTGCCATCTCGGTGTAAGTAAACAATCTTTAAAACTACCGCTAAGCGTTTGTGCCTAATTCCAGCTCGACGGCCTTCCCTCTCCGCCCCGGCGTGCCCGGGCTGCTGGCCACAGCCCGCGTGCAGCACGAAAAAGGGCTCGGGTTGCTCCCGGCCCGCACACCGCAGAGAGGGGGTCAGGGCACTGCTGACCATCCAAGGGGCCTATCTGGGTGGATGCCTCACAGGAGCTCCGAGCCAGAGGCAGCAGCAGGGCAGGGGCCCTGGCTGCGCTCCATATCACCACCTCCATAGTAGCCCCCCTCCTCATTCACTTACCTGGAGTCTCTGTCAGAAGCTCCTGTGTGCTCCTGCCCACCACTGTCCTGTGAACTGCCTGCAAACTGCTCCCGTGCTGGCAGTCCCTGTTCGCTGGCTCCCTGGCCAGTCTTGGGGGAGATGTGCATGGCAGGGAACAGGACACACGTGTAGGTGAAGTACTGAGCTGCCATTGCACCCTGGGACACAGGGCGGGTGGTCATGTTGGGGCTGTGCTTAGCCCTAACACAGCAGAAGTGGCAGGAAATGTGGGGAGGGGGTTGGTAGACGGTGCCACGCTGCAGACAGCAGGGAGTTCCCTGGGGGCCTGATGCTGCAGGGTGGCACTTTTTTGCACCAGGACTCACTTGTAAACATTGATGGCCAGTCCCGAAGCAGTGCCCCTCACTACTGACCCACTGCTTCCTGCCCCCACACGCCAGCCCCACAGTGTGTGGGACAGGGGTGTGTGGGGCCTGGAGGGTCCCAAGTAGCCCCTTGCTGGCTGGGACTCTGACAGCCTGGAGGGAAAAAGCCACAGTTTCTCACATTTTTTTCCTTTAAGGAGAATCCATTTTTAAAGTTTGTTGATCCATTTTTTAAATTTGTTCATGACTCTTTCATATATTCTTTATATGACCTAAACACTTTTGGGTTGGGACCCATGGGTTGAGAAATGCTGTTCTAAAGGGAGAGAGAGCAGGACCAGGACTTTCCAGTCACTCACACCTTCTTGTCTTGAGTGTTTGGAGGAATAAACCCAAGCAAGTCTACATGCAACACATAAAACCCTCCCAAGATCAAACTGAACCAGCAGCAGGGCAACGAGCCAGGCTGTCCTGGGCTGAGCGCAGGCAGCTTGTAGCTCCTGTTTGTAAGGGCCACAAGGTCTGGGCCATGGTTGGGGCTGCTGGATGCTTTCACCAGAGACATAATGCTAACTCTCCTCCTCTTCAGGGGGGAGACCCCAGAGCGGGGGGATTCTCTGCTGTGGATCTGGCCTACAGGCTTTCACCCACCATGTGCGCTTCGTGTGCTGTGTATGGCCTGCAGGCAGAGGACCTGACTTGAAATCCCTGCACTGCTGAAACCCCAGACTTGTTTGAGTAGCTGCTAAACTGCAAGGCAGTCATCGACCCGGCCCTGCTGGGCTTAGAGCCAGCACCAGGACTGCAGCTGCTGTGGAGCTGGACAGAGTGACCCTGCCCTGCTGTGTGCCAGCCTGGTCCCTCCACACCATGCACTCCTTCCTCAGGGGCTTGTCTAGGAACCTTGTCTGCCCGTGTGCTGTGATTGCAAAGCAGTTTTACTTTCCTCCTGTGAATCTCACCCAGAGCCTGATGATATTTCTCCTCCGTGGGACCCTTCTGCCAGGCACAGGGCAGCAGTAGCAAGGGCAGGTTCACACCTAGGAGTTTAACCCCAGCTTTCCAAACCTGGCTCCAGCCCCTGCCCAGAAACCTGGGAAAAATTATCACAGGGTGCTCTACAGTGACCAAACTGCCCCATTTGCAAGCAGCCTTCAACCCCCACAGGGTTTATTACAGGGGAAAAGGCGACACACATGCACACAGTTAAATAAGCCCCAAACATTTAACAGTCCAGGTCATGGACAAACCAGCCCCGGGGGAGGGACCACCACATCCATGGGGAGGGAGACTCACCCAGGGCTGCCGTCTGGGGGCTCTACCACCTGCACCAGCCATGGCAGCAAGTGTGGGGTGGGGAGGCCTGCATGGAGCTCCTGACGCCTTGCTGCTGGGGATCACCACTGGGTGTTGCTGCTTCATCGGCATGCCGGGGTCACAGCCACTGCTGCCAGGGGTGCCCCTGCTCCTCTGCCATGGCCAGGTGTCAACCCTGAGCTCCAGGTTATCTGTGCACCTCCAGCTCTGTGGGACCCTGCCATGCTCCACAGCAGGCCCCGGGATCTCAGCTCCTTCAGCTGTCGGGAGCATCAGCTCCCACTGGACCCCACTCCAGGGCCTGGCTGGGGCCTCTGGCTGGGAGAGGAGGTCATGCCCAGAGCAGCACGTCCCGAGGGACAGAGATGGCCTGGTTCTGCTTGGGGTTTGCATTCACTAGCACTGGAGGACAGCCCTGAATGGGGGTGGCAGGAGGGGTGCAGGCAGTGACTGACTCCATTCAGGCACTACATTTTGCCAACTCACTGATGGCAGCTTTCCCATATGTTTTCTGTCGTTAGGCCCTGGACTTCTTGCTGGTAACTCAGGGAGTCTTGTCCATCAGGAGCACCCAAGGAGGTCCCCAGGGTATGTCACCATGGTGCGCTGTCTTGCCAGGCTCAGGTTCATTTCTGGGAATGACAAAGCCACATTAGCACAGTGCTCAGCTGGGACCTCCAATTCAGCTCCTCAATGAGTGCAGTGACCCTAGGCAGGCTCCACACTAACGTGGCCCGGCAGTTCAAAGACAAGAGTAAGGGCATTTGGATCTCACTTGGGTCTCTGCAGGGCACTGCATTGGGATGGACAGAACTACCCCCAGGGACCAGGGGTCTGGGTCAGGGATCAAGCTGGTGTCATTTCTTCTTTTGAATGAAATTCCTTAGTAATCCCACCCAGCCCTTTAGTTTCCACTGCCCCAGCACCTGCCAGGAGGGTCCCACCACAAAGCTACCTCTGCAAATAGGCACCAGCTGGATTTAAAACATGTCAAATCCATCTGTGTCCCTCCCTAGTGTGCATCCACCCCAGAGACCCTGCGTCCCAGGAGTCAGAGGCTGGGCTGTTCATAGATTCATAGATGCTAGGGTCGGAAGGGACCTCAACAGCTAATCGAGTCCGACCCGGCTGCCTAGGCAGGAAAGAGAGCTGGGGTCAAATGACCCCAGCCAGGTGCCTATCCAGCCTTCCCTTTAAGACCCCCAAGGTAGGAGAGAGCACCATCTCCATTGGAAGCCCATTCCAGATTTTGGCCACCCCTACCATGAAGTTTTTCCTGATATCTAGCCTAAATGTACTCTCTGTCAGTTTGTGACCATTGTTCCTTGTTACCCCAAGAGGCACCTGCCAGCCCAATCATGGGAAAAAGGTCCCTGAAAGGGAACTTCAGCCCTGTGCTCAGGGTGTCTGGGCTCACGTCTTGCTCATAACAGGCACCCACACACAGAGAAAAACTGGGGAAAAACACCAGGACTGACCGCTCACGTAGGTTCCTAGCCAAGTTACAGGACCTCCACCTAACCCAGGAGGTGCACAGTCCCACCAGGGGAAATGCCGTGTTGGATCTGGTCCTGGCCACAGGCGATCACCTGGTAAGGGGTCTGCGGGTGCTCGACCACCTGGGCAATAGAGATCATCGCCTGCTGGGATTCCCCATCCAGTGCAGGGGGGCCAAGGCCTGCAGCAAGGCAGCAGCCCTGGACTTCAGGAGGGCCGATTTCAATGAGTTAAGGAGATTAGTCAGGGAGGTACTGAGGTCCCGGAGGGGAGGGGAGTTGGGAGTCCAAGAAGAGAGGTTGTTCCTTAAGGAGACAATTCTCCAAGCCCAAAGGGTGACAGCCCCAACACCGATCAAAGGGGGCAAGAGTTCTCAAAAGCACCCATGGCAAATCAAAGGCATCCAGAAAAAATCTCAAAGCTAAACAGGAGGCGTACACCCAATGGAAGGGAGGGAGGATTGCATCTCCATTGCTCGAGACCGTAGGGGGCTGTTAGGAAGGCCAAGGTGGAGACAGAACTGGGACTAGTGACCAGGTTCAAAGATAACAAGACGTCCTTTTTTAAATACATAGGGAGTAAAAAGAAGGAACCAGGTAACATGGGGCCTCTGCAGGACATGCTTGGAAATCTGGTGGTCGCACCAGATGACAAAGCTAACCTCTTTAACAAATTCTTTGCCTCCATTTTTCTGAGCAGGAACCGGGTCATCCCCTGCACCGGGATCCCGGACGGACCCAGGGGAGGCGCAGCCAGGCCCAGGGTCAGTGAGGACCTAGTCAGGGATCTCCTGGAGGGACTGGATGTATTTAAATCAGCAGGTCCTGACGATCTCCACCCCAGTGTGCTGAGGGAATTAGCAGAGGTCATTGTGGGACCCCTGGCACGGCTTTACGAGCACTCGTGGTGCTCTGGCGAGGTGCCGGAGGACTGGAAAAGGACCAATGTGGTCCCCATCTTCAAAAAAGGAAGGAAGGAAGACCCAGGAAACTACAGGCCCGTTAGTCTTACCTCTGTCCTGGGGAAGCTCTTTGAGAGAGTTATCCTGACGCATGTCCGCGAGGGGCCGGCAGGGGAGATCATGCTTAGGGGCAACCAACATGGGTTCATTCGAGGCAGGTCCTGTCAGACCAACCTGGTGGCCTTCTACAACCAGGTCACAAAAGCCTTGGACGCAGGTGTCATGGTGGATGTAGTCTTTCTGGACTTTAGGAAGGCCTTCAACACCGTCTCTCACCCCATTCTCATTAAAAAAATTAGGCAACTGTTGTGTCAATGCCTACACAGTCAGATGGGTCGCAAATTGGCTGGAAGGCCGCACCCGGAGAGCGGTGATGGGCAGGTCATTATCGACCTAGAGGGCTGTGGGCAGTGGGGTCCCCCAGGGCTTGGTCCTTGGGCCTGCACTGTTCAACATCTTCATCAGCGACTTGGGCGAGGGGGTGAAAAGCACCTTGTTCAAATTCGCAGATGACACTAAGATGTGGGGGGAAGTGGGCACGCTAGAAGGGAGGAATAGTCTGCAATTGGACCTGGACAGGTTACAGGGGTGGGCGGATGAGAACAGGATGGGTTTCAACACTGTCAAGTGCAGGGTGCTGCACCTGGGGAGGAAGAGCCAGCAGCAGACCTACAGGCTGGGGAACTCCCTTCTCGTCAGTGCAGAGGCAGAAAAGGATCTTGGAGTCATTATTGATGCCAAAATGAACATGGGCCGACAGTGTGGGGACGCGGTCAGGAAGGCCAACCGCCCCTTGTCGTGCATCCACAGATGCATCTCGAGCAGGGCCAAGGAGGGGATCCTCCCCCTCTACGTGACACTGGTCAGGCCGCAGCTGGAGTACTGCGTCCAGTTCTGGGCGCCGCACTTCAGGAGGGACGTGGACAGCATGGAGGGGGGCCAGAGGAGGGCCACGTGCGTGATCCAGGGACAGCAGGGCAGATCCTCTGAGGAGAGGCTATGGGACCTGAACCTGTTCAGCCTCCACAAGAGAAGGCTGAGAGGGGATCTGGTGGCAAAGTAGGGGCAAGGGGGTGGCTGCTGCACCCATGAGGGGGGAGGAGAGGGGCAGGTGCCAGGGTCGGGGCAGGCCCGGCCCTGGGAGAGGCATGAGATGATGTCATCACAGCAGGTCCATGCCCCGCCCCTCCCCCGCCCCAGGCTGGGCTGCTGGCCCAGCTGGGGGGTGGTGGGGGCAAGAGGGGCAGTGCCTCCCCCATGACCTGGTGTCGCAGGCGCTATTGGGAAGGGGGTGAGGAGGGGCAGGCAGGGAGGCTGGAGGGGCTGGGAGACAGCAGGGAGCTGATGAGTGTGAGGCCATTAAGTGAGGAAGAGGCATTTCCCCCTGACTGCCCCCTCCCCCGGGGCTCAGCTGCACTGGGAGCAGCGCTCAGTTCATCCCCACACAGGACCTGGGTCACGGCTGGGTGGGGGCCTCCTGCCCTCAAAGTATTGCACAGTCCCACCCCCGTGGGGCCAAGCTGTTATGTGGAGACACCCCCATTGCACCTGGCTCTGCACAGACAGACGGGGGGCTTCAAACGCATCTGATTGACTTAGGGGCAGAAATCCCAGCAGCTGCCCATAGGACATAATTTATTTAAGTTATTCATGTTCCAAGCCAAATCAGCTATAAGACCCCCGAAGCAAGCTAAGGAGGAGTCTCCCATGTCCATAAAGTGGGCATAAAGCCAAGGTTAACTATGCATTACCAACATGAGTAATATCCCATACCAGCAGAGCCGTCTTCCCCAGGTGTGACTAGGAAGCCACCGTGGTGATCATGGTATTTCGCCTAGGTAAGCATAGGCACTATGCTTGATCTGAACTGACAAGAGGCTGAGAAAAACCCCAGTAGCTGCCCATAGGACATCAGCTCCTGGACCCCTTCAGACCTGTGGAAATTCTCCCCTAGGAAATACCAGGAGACCAGACGCAGTAGTCAATGGAAGGCGGGCTGGGGAGGTTGAACAGGCTTGTGGGGCAGGGTGTCTGTTCAGAGCATCAGTGTGAAAAATACCTTCCCCTCTTTCCTGTCCCCATGACCTGCTCTGAGATTTTCCCGTTGGAGATCGGCCCCTGCTCCCATCCTGACCACCAGGCTGAAAACTGAGACTTGGCTCCAGCCTGACATGTCTGTCCAGAGCAATTTTCCCCCAGTGGCCAGGAGCTGCAGACCTACTCTAGCTGCACCTGGGCACCCCCTGCATGAGCACTGCTCCCAGAGCCTGGTGTAGAGCCGCAGGGAATGAACAAGACCGTCCCCCGTGTGCTATCAAGAACCAGCCAGAGGCAGAACCAGGGCAGGGCTGGAGCTCTCACACCCCAAATGGGTGCAGACTTGCCCAGGGCTGGTGCCTCCCAGAGTCACCCTGGTTCCAGGCTCATCTGACCCACAACGGCATGGGGACAGCTCTGCACACCTGGGCATGTGTATGGCCGTGAAGAGGGGGAACTGCCAGGTTTCCCTGAAGAGCCTGAACCATTTCTGAGAGCCTCAGGGATTGTCCACACCACACAGCTGACCTGGGTCATCAAAATCCCTTAAGGACTGACCTATCAATCTTTCCAAACCCAGGCACAAGTCTCCCAAGGCAGGCCCATGGGATTGCTGGGCTCTGGTTGAGTGCGTGGTTGAGTCCTGTGAAAGATCAAAAGGAGCTACGTGTGGCTCAGATGGTGTTGAGATGGACTCAGGATCCCAACGCACTCTTAAGCCTGGGGTCAGATATGACCCAGAGACCAACCCTGCCTAGGGCCAAGTGCACATAGCATGTCCTGGGCTTGGGGCAGTAAGGGGAGAAGGCAGCAGGGATGCAGTGATTCTTGCTGCTAACAGCAACAAAGCTCATGTTTGTGGCATTGCAATGGGGGCAGAAGTGGCCACAGGGAACAAACCTCTCCAAGAGGGCAGCTCTGGGGTCACTGATATGAGGATAGGTCACTCACCTGCATGTATGTGGGCTCTTCTGAATCCTGCAATCAAGCAGCAGAGAGAGAGGTGAGAATTTACACACCAGAGTCACTGCACCAGGACCCAATTCAGAGACTGGGGCAAACTCTGCTGTCCCCACACAGCCAAACTCCTGGGCCTGCCTATGAGACTGTGAAAGTGGGAAGTCAGGGCTGCAGCATTTGGCCTCATGTCCTTGCAGCAGACAGGGAAGAAGTAAAGCACCCACAATGCAGGAGTCCCAGAGAAAGGGTCCCCCCAGCAGCTGGTTCCTGCCCCATCAGCCTGGCCCAGAGGGCCTGGCCCAGTGGTGCTGGCCAGGCAGGGAAATCCAAGGGTCACATGCAGGGGCACCAGGGGTTTGGTGTTACTGTGAAGCCATCAATTCTCCTTTCCCTTGTGTCTGGTGTCTGAGCTCTCAGCCCTCCCTTCCCTCCATGTGTCCGGGTGTTTGTCTCACACCACCGTCATGTCACAGCCGCACACACAGACCTGACTGTGCAGCCGCTGCTCTTCCCAGGCCCCCACGGGCCTCCTACCCCAGCACCCAGCTACGCACTGTCTCACTGTGGGTGATGATGGGAATGGCTCCACACTTCCCTTGGCTGTTCTGACCCGTGCCCCTCTCATGTCCCCGTGATGGTTTCTCTTCTCCAGAGATCACTTCACACTGCTCAGCGCAGAGCTGCCCATACATGGGAACAGGTGCCCCCTCCCTTCCCCTTCCTCTCCCAGGACTCTCCTCTCTCTGCAGCCATCCTCTCTGCAAGGAAAGAGAACAAGCCAGATATCAGTCCATCCTGCTCTTGATTTGACACTGGTGCTGGTTAGGAGTCTCAGGGCTACTGCAGGGGCTGCCATTCCCAGAGAGTTGGTGAGGATGGGGAATAATGCACAAGCTGGTGGAGTCCCAAGGGCTCAGCGGAGGTGGATCAGACACTCTCTCTGGAGACCCGGGGCAGTAGACTCTGTCTGTGGTAACATCTCTCACTTCTGAACAACCAAGACCCTCCCCAAGGAACCCCCCACCCCACCTTCTACCCCACAGGGATGCACGGGGAGGGCTCTGCCCTCCACAGCTGGGTGTTGTCACAGGTGGGTGCAGGGGAAGGGCATGGTCCCTCTGAGTTCCTGCATGCAGCCAGGGAGGGCTGGGCAGCAAATGGCCCTTTCCCCTCTGAACAGCTCTCCTAGAGCTCCACAATCCAGGCAAACCCTCCTGTGAGGACTTACTGGGGCGGCTCAGGGAATTTGCCTCAGCCCCTCCAGGTCCCTGCTGGGAGCTGTAGCTGGGAATGCTCCAGGCTGGGATTCATGCACAGCCACAAACACCCCTGGGAAGTGAAGCCCCAGCTCCCTCCCTGTGTGCATCTGTTCCGACTGGGGCCTCTGGCTCCACAGTCCCAGCTCTGAGTCAGGATCTAAGCATCGAGCAGCAAATCTCACAGCGAGTGCAACACAGGACACTTCTGTACAGCCAGGAGCGCTGAGAGCACCAGGCCTGTGCTAAGTGCCCAGGGCCTGAGCAGGAAGCAGCAGAACCACGCAGATTTGAAATGACAAATGATATGCTCAGCTGCACTCATCCCCATGGAGTCCACCCAGTGCAGCCCTGGGGACCAGGGCCATCAAGGGCATTTCCAGGATTTGGGCCACTCTGGGCTGGACCACAGACCTCTGAGCCCAGCTCTGGTCCTTTGGGAACATGAACACAAGAGCTCCAATAACTCAGCTCCACAGCTTCCCCTGCCTTTAACACGGTGCAATAAGACAGAGGCCCTGGAAGTGCCCCTTACCCAGGAATCCCATCAGAGCCTCCTGCAGCTTGTTCTCTCCAGGGAAATCCCAGAGTCTCTTCTCCAGCTCAGGGAACTCGGGGACTAGATGTAGAGGCATCACCTCCTCACCCCTGCAGAGACATGCAGGCAGTTATTCCTCTTGCTCCTCAGCCAGAAGTTCCCATGCCCTCAAGACCACAAGAGGAAATGGTGGGAGCTGCAGTCACAGGGTGCAAATTCTGCCTGACAGGCCAGTCGGTGCCTGTGCAGGCTGCTGGCTCCCAGCCCTGGCACTGGGGCTGGGATTAGAAATGGAAATCCTTATACTCAGAGGGCTTCAAGCAGAGTTATGCCAGCAGGTCTCAACCTGCAAACCCTTCCTGTGCAGCCACAGCTCACACCAGCAAAGCACCACTGTTCCCTGTACAGCTTGCACCAGTGTCAGGGGGAACAGCTGTACTGAGAAATACCTGGTTTCTAGTGTAATCGAGTCTGGTCCAGGGTTTTTGCCCAGAGAGCCACATGGTGTAGGGGTTGGAGATGTTCACACTTCTAACAGGCCCTGATCTTGGCCCATCCTTAGAGAAGATGCAGCCAGGCAGAGGCAGCCTGAGCCCCCTGACATGTGGCCTGACCACAGCCCCCTCTGGGCCAGGGCCAGGGCCAGGGCCAGGGCCAGGGCCAGGCTGCTCCTGGGACTGAGAGGCCAAATAACTGGGCCAGGCTGCTCCTCAGTTTCATTCCCAGTGTCCAAGGGCCTGGTCCCTGGTGAGGTCTCTGCCCATGGACACTGTCCCCACTGGGGCTCTGGGTTGAGACCCTCGGTTCTCTTCCCACAAACCCCCGGCCCCTCTGCCATGACAGACTTCCTGCCATTACAAAGGCCAGATCCCAGCCCAGCCTCAGGGAGGGGCTTATTCAGCCCAGGGTGATGGGGATCCCCTGCCCAGGCTGGGTCACAGGATGGCAGCAGCACCCCAGGGCCACAGGGATGGAGGAGGCTGGACCCTGTGGAGAAACTGTACCAGAGTCAGGGGCTGCTGGCTGAAGCTGCAGCCGAGTCTTGGCTAATGGGAGAAGAGGAGTGAGATGAAACCCAAACGTACCTGCTCACAGCGCTTCTGAGACCCTGGAGGGGACAAGAAACAGAACAGAGTCAGTGTCACCACACAGCGCAGCCCTTCCTTGTGCTACCAGGAGCACAGCCTCACTCACCCCGGCCCCTCTGCCAGGATGGACACCCCTCTGCACTGGGCCTGGGACTAGGACAGGAGCAGGAGCAGCCTTTTCTTACTCCACCCTACCTCCCCAACTGGCCCACCCCCATCTCCCTGCAGCCCCAGTCTTGGGGCCCTGCATGCACCCCGATGCCCCGCTACCCTGCATCACCCTGGGAGCTCCCTGGGACTCAGGGGCCATCACCCCTCTGGGCCGGGCACTGGGGCACATCTGACCCTGTCTCACCTGCAGGAGCTCAGGCGCCGGCTGCTGACACTTCCCCTCCAGTTCTGTGATCAGGGTGCTCAGGCGGGCAGTCTCCTCACACAGGTGAGCGGCGTTTTCCTCCCTCCTCCTCACAATCTCCGTGTCCAGCTCTCCCAGCCGGGCCAGCAGGACCTGCTCGCGTTCAGCCAGGAGCTGGCACAGCCCCTCGCACTCGGACACCACCAGCTGCCGCTCCACCTCCGTCTGCCTCTGGGGTGGGCACAGCCATGCAGGGGCAGGGCAGGGCCATGGGGACAGGGGTAAGGAGGCGGGGAACTGGACACTCAGGGCAGATGTCCCTGAGACTTTTCCAGGCTGCAGAGAATGCCTCATTCCTGCCCCACAGGGTCCAGCCCAGGGCATTTCCAGGGACGCAGCCCTGCATCTCCAAGAGGGGAATTTCTCACACACCCAGCCACCCCAGCACAGAGGCTGCAGCAGGACCCCCATGATCCAGGGGTTTGCAGGGCTGGGCCCTGAGAGCACAGCGCTGCCCCGACTCATATGAGGCTGAAGTTGGTTGTTTATTTCCAGTTCCTTATTCCCGGTTCCTTTATCAAAGTTAATTTAGACCCAATAAAAGATTGTTATTAATGAATTACACATCCTGAAGAGAGAGAATGTCATTAGCTATGCAGATGTACTAATTAATATGTAAAATAATATCCCACATCAAGTACAGAGCCCTAAATGAAGGTCAGAGAAGGATGGGATTACAGGGCAAAATACTTCTTGGGCCACCCCAAACTTCCTGTCAATGCCACTGGGGCACTGTCCCAAAGAACCCTGACCACAGTCCCACCTGGCCCAAAGTACGGTTTGGCCATGCCAGGCTGCCAACTGACAGCCCCCATGCTCACTATACTAAGTATAATGGTTTGAATAAGGAGCTGGTTTTGTGGCTGGGATTATTGCTAGAAAATCTGCTTGGGCCACCCATCAGAATACCTCTGTGCCACCGGGGGACTCTGCTGGATGCATCTGACCAGAGTCTTGCCCGGCCCAAAGCACGGTTTGGCTGTGCTGGGCTGTCAGCTGACAGCACCCCAGCCAATGTGCTAAGTACCTGGACCCGAATAAGGAATTGGATTTTGGGCTGGGATTATAGCCACAAAACCTTGTTGGGCCACCCCAGGCCATATCTCTGTGCCACTGGGGGACACTCCTGGACATCTCTGATCAGAGACTTGACCAGCCCAAAGCGCGGTTTGGCTGTGCCAGGCTGCCAACAGACAGCACCCCCCCAGACACTGTGTTAAATATCTGGACCCGAATAAGGAACTGGCTTTTGGGCTAGGATTAGAAATCCTTCTTGGGCCACCTCATGGCATACCTCTGTGCCACTGGAGGACTCTCGTGGACATCTTTTACCAGAGTCTTGCCTGACCCAAAAGGCAGTTTGGCCATGCCCAGCTGCTATCTGACAGCCCCCCCAGCCACTGTTCTAAGTATACCGGCTCAAATAAGGAACTGTTTTTGGGGCTGGGTTTAGAAATAGAAATCCTGGTTGGGCCACCCCACTCTATGACTCTGTGGCACTGGGTGATTCTCCCAGGCATGTCTGAGCAGAGTACTGTCCAGACCAAAGTGTGGTTTGGCTCTGCCACACGGTCAGCTCAGAGCCCCGCCTCACCCCCAGTGACTGTACTAAGGAGAATGGCTTGAATAAGGAACTCTTTTCGGGCTGGGATTAAAAATGGAAATCCTTCTTGGCCACCCCACACTATCACTGTGTGATCACTGTGAGGGGAGGGGAGGCAGGCAGACAAGGGCCAGGCGGACCCGAAGCGACTCTGTGGCACTGGGTGATTCTCCCAGGCATGTCTGAGCAGAGTACTGTCCAGACCAAAGTGTGGTTTGGCTCTGCCACACGGTCAGCTCAGAGCCCCGCCTCACCCCCAGTGACTGTACTAAGGAGAATGGCTTGAATAAGGAACTCTTTTCGGGCTGGGATTAAAAATGGAAATCCTTCTTGGCCACCCGGTGGGGGAAGTGGGGGAGCAGGGCCAGTTGCAGGGCTCTGTGCCCCATCCCTTCCCCCACCCCGCTTTCATTCTTGATGGGCAATTTGCTAGGGCTGTGCAAAGCTTCAGGTGGTGATTTGATTCAGAGGAGATTTGGCCCGATTCGGTGACCTAATCTCCAAATCTGAATTGAATCAGGGGACCAATTTAAAGGTCCGAATCGATTCAAAGCTCTCTGAATCTTCGGCAAAGGTTCAGAGAGCTTTGGTGATACGGGCAGCCATTCC